GAAAATTTTTAAAATTTTATCATAGAACTACATTATATTTATATATTGCCTATCTGCAAAACAAACGGTGAATGGGGAGTTGGCAGGGACTCCTCGGGGATTGCACAGGTTGGGGAGTGTGAGGGTGACTCCGGGGAGTACACATTTCTAGAGACTCTTGACAGACTTTCTCTTATCGGAGTCATAAGAAAAACATTCTGCTCTCTGAGGAGTTCTGTAGGAATCCATGCATGACTTTCTCCAACAGGACTCCTGCAGGAATTTTTTTTGAATTCCTCATGACTCCATGCATGACTTTCTCCAACAGGACTCTCGACAGGACTCCTGCAAGAATTTTTTTGCGACTCCTCATGACTCCACTCCATGTTGGACTTTTCACTTTAGAAAGTTCCTGCGAGAGTCATCAGGACTCCATACGATTCCTGCTGGAGTTTTTCATAAACTTGGGACTCCCGTTGGAGTTTTACCGGGAGTCTCGACTAGGGTTTATATGTGAATTGTAAAAAAATACGTAAATAACCTCCAACTTGTTTTCTTGAAGAACCTTTTCTCTGAAGCAGAGAAGGGAGCACGGGATAGTAATCGGATAAGCCCTGATCGATTACCTCTGTCCTCCACCTGCACCTATGTGGATGGAATTCGATTACCTTGACTAACTATTTTGGTTTTTAATGTGTTGTGAACTAATATAGCCACACCCCAAACGAGTTGGTTTCTGCGTGGTTGTTCCAATAGTGCCCCTCTCACTTGAATAAATTCTTAATTTTAGCACCCACACCCGTCAGAATGCATATATGAGGCGTAAAGATAATCTGAGTTAGCCAATCGATAGAGCTTATTGAGCTGAGTATAGGAATCCCTAACGAACACCCAAGAAACTTTTTATAGTTTCGCTTTTTAAGCATACATTTTGAATGCAACACCCACGAATACTTACGAACACAAAGAAGAAAAGGTAAGAACACCCAAAAAAGTGCGCCAAATTCGTATAGAATAGAGCTCCACGAGCTCTATCGATTGGCTAACTCAGATTTTAATTTGGGGGTGTTCGTGGATGTTCGTGGGCGTTCGCGTCTTTTAGCAATACCCCATAAGGAGAGACCTGTTTGTGATAGTGATAATCCCTTTGTTATTCTTTATAATTGTTACTGTTTAAATACTTATATTGTAGACCTTGATATCTTAATGTCTACCTTTACGCCTCATATATGCATTCTGACGGGTGTGGGTGCTAAAATTAAGAATTTATCCAAGCTAGAGAGGTACTATTGGAACAGCCACGCAGGAACCAACTCGTTTGTGGAGTGGCTATATTAGTTCACAACACATTAAAAACCAAAAATTATCTCTCTTATCCAGTGTATTTTTTTCCAATAACTGAGTACGTCTGAAATTATCCAATTATAGAAACTAGAAATATTTTTGTTGCTCTTTCGAAGGGGGTATGCTAAATCATGTTCTGATCCACTTTTCAACCAGAAATCGCCAAGTTTTGAATAATTCCAGAAAAGCAATTAATTAGACTTAATTAATGATTTGATCTATAGCATTCAAAAAAATGTAGAAATGAGAGGACGAATATTTTTCTGAATTCGTTTTATCTGACTTCACCTGGTTGTCAGAGAAAAATAATAAGAGTGTATCGAAGATAGGTGATATCGGTCCCTATTTTTTCTCGTTTAGAAAGTGTTTGAGTGTCTGCATTTATTTCTATTCATTAGGGATTATGTGAAAATTTAAGTTCTAATTTACAATAAATAGAACAACAGTTGAATTATGTGTTGTAATATGCAATCAAGAAAGTTGTGGACTTTCAACTGTTGGTATCATATTATATTTTAGATATTCAAATCGGACACACACTGCATATTTTGGTATTATCTTGACTATCTATTGCATGCGATAGCGGAGATTCTGGTCGATGACATGGACAGAAAGTTTTATTAAAAACGCTTGACTATAATTATCATAATTAATTATGAAATTAAGTTATTGCATAAAATATGTTGCAATTTATATCACATTTTTTGCGAAATTTGTACAATGGAGTAGTGAGCTGATCTCCACATATGTTATAGAGTTCAGCATTCTGAACAACTTTGTCATTTGGCATAGTATCAAAATCGGCTTCTGAGAGAGAGAAGAGGTTTGTCTCTGGAAACTCCGTGTATTTCCATGGAGGCCACATTCGGGCTGACCTACTTCAATGGTCAGTTTCGGATTTGGGAAATGCGACATCTTTTTAGGGATGTTATGCCAGATAGCATGTTACTCAATTACCGCGGTCATTTACAATTGGCTGATTTTGGCACTTGTGTTAAAATGGATAAGATAGTATAAATAGTTCGATATCTAATTCCACAGTGTTTATTCATCGTTTTCTTTTAAAAGATGGATTGGTCAGATCTGGTACTACTGTTGTACACCTGATGTGTATTCATCTTATGTCTCCAATAATCACAAAAGATACGATTTAAATATCGACTATGAACATAATGTTTTTACTGAAGCTTTTTTAGTTTTGAGAAAGAATATTAATTCAGGATTCGCTAAAATTTCTAACAATTAAAAAAACTAAGTCTCTAAGTAAATAATTTTTAAAATTTCGACGTGTCAGAAGCCGCTATGATATAGTATCAGCAGTATCGACGTAAATCACATTGATACTGGCGCTTAATGAAAGAAATCTCAATGAAAGCTTACCTTGATCGTCGAAAATAATAACACACACTTACTCATCCGAATTCGAGCAATAATTCGTTCGCCTCTTTTTCTCCCACACAAATTGCATAAGTGTCTCTTTTCCGCCAATCAGGCTCGTAGCCAGGGGGGTGCCCGTTGTACCCGGGCACATCCCATAAGTAGAAATTGCTATTTAACTGCTATGAAAACAATCACATGACGAGATAAGGTTCGAGCTTTTATCTCTTTTCAAACGACATTATTAGGAATGAGAAGTAAAAAGGTAAAGAAAAAGCTACCCAGGGCGAGCAACCGTATATCAAGATTTCCTATGGTCTTATTCCAAGGAACCATAACATTTCAAAGGATCTTGTAAGATTTTATATGATATCTTTGTAAAAGAATCTTTCAAGATTTTATAAGAAAAATGATCTTACAAGATCTTATAAGATCATAACATATGAAGCTAAGATCGTATAAGATATCATATGATCTTGCAGGAAGTGACAAGATCTCATAAGGACGCAAGAATTCATCAGATTCCAGGTCAAAAAATCAGATCAAGATCTTACACGAGCTTGTATACTCTTCCAAGATTTTATAAAATCTTATGGAAAATCATAGAAACGGATTCACCTTATAAAATCTTATAAAAATCACACAAGAATCTTACGAAATCTGATGAAATCTTAATAAAAGATCTTACATTAGAGACGTGCACGGGTACCATTTTCGTACCCGACCCGAAAATTTTTTTCCCACCCGTACCCGATCCGAGAACTGTGTACCCGTACCCGATCCGTAATCGACTTATACCTAAAAATTTTCTACTTTTTGTTTTCCAGCTAAAAGCTTTTAAAAAAATAGAACCCGTACCCGTATAACTGCTCTACCTGTACCCAACCTTCGGGTCGGGTTGCACATCTCTACTTCACATACGACAAACGTAACCTTATTGGTAAAACTCATAATTGACTCAATAATAGACTCAATAACAGTTAGACTCTCTACCCTTTTTGAAAAACAGTCTATCTTAATGCCCAAGTTGAATAATCTGCGTCTCACTACAAATCGGAAAAGGTTGCTTTTAGTTCGGCTTAAATATTAGAGAAAAGCAATCAAGTTGATAGATAGTGTATATTAAATTCATAGTGAGTGATTTTGTGAATTGAAGAGTATGAACATTCACACTAAAATGTAGACTACATGAATATTCTGTTTTTCGTTCTGTCTCTTCATTCTGATAACATGAAAATAAGAGAAATCAGAGAAAAAAAGAATATATTCAGAACGGAGAAAAATGGGAGAACAGAATAAAAAGCGCTAGTTTCCACGCAAAAACAGTTTTTCGTTTGTTTCTCGAAAACTAAGAGTGGTCCAAGAAAACGGGTAGCATATTCGGAATCCTCGTGAAATTGCGAATCAGAATATGTATTTTGTTTCTCTTATTTTCAGTCCGATGGAAAATCGAACGTTTTGCTATGCATAGCAAAACGTTCGGGATGAATGCTATGTTCATTCGGAATGAACTAAAAGCCATCAGTCTTTTTCATATTTAATTTAAGATCATTTTCAATCATATGATCGAATCAGAATTGCAAAATACAGCGAAGTGGGACTTAATTTACCTGAGCAAATGTTTCTGAAAAGCAAACTCCAAAGCTTATCGAAAATCAGATAGTTTCACAGTATGACCAGGGACTACGAGGTGTTCATGTACAGTAGAAGAACGACGGACCGAAATTGCTGTGTACTTTCTCTGACTTTGTAATAATATTGACTTTTCCTTTTCAGATAGAGATTATGGCGTGATGGAAACATCATCTGCTTGACGAAAACATTAAAAATTGATTCCACCATGTTCTCAGTAAAAGAGAGTGGAATCAAGCATAACGAGCTAAAAGCTAGAGATCGATTAGACATGCCTTTCTTCGGGTATGCGCTTAAGCAGAAAACATCACTAGGTCGCAGTTCGAAGCAGTTTTCCTCTTTAGAAACGGGCCGTAGTATTGCTCAAAACATGGATCGTTTGGCAATGGATAATGAACATTCAACACGTGATGAAGAAACACGACGTCAGTTACCCATTGGTATGACAGAGAACATGCTGCAAGGTTTAGAATTATTGAGTTTAAATTTATTGGGTACCGTGGCGGGTTTGGATGATCAACCGATACAATCATTTCACAATCGCCATTGTGGCCAGACGACCACAGCTGTTTTGTCTGATGTGGGCAAAGGTCTCGTCGGAATTGTAGCAAAACCAGTGGGCAGTTTGGCACAAATAATTTCGCAAACGGGACAAGGTATTCTATATGGAAGCGGACTCGTTTATATACTACATCGGTGTTATCGTCAAACTGAGTTGCGTACAACCAATTCTTCTAGAAGTCATTTGCACTTCAGAAATAATATACAATGTAAGCGTAAACAGTGTTTCTTTATAAAGTACATCATTGCTTTAATGGACCTTTGATTTTCGCCGTCCGATTACCATGGCATGGGTTCTATAAAAAACTTTCAAAATTTTAAGATTTATAAATAGAAATGTGTTGATGTATAAGATTATTACTAATTCCTTCCATGATTTTAGGGTTAGTTCTGTATCTTGATATGCATTGAATATATTCGTAATATATATTATTATTCAAGATCAAATGAATGTAGCAGCAATGTCTATGCCACAAGATTCATCAAAAGCATTTAAAGCAGAAAAAGAAGGATTATTAATATGTGATCATCAACGGGCAGATAAAACTAGAAGATATTATGACACATTAAAAACCAGTTAGCCAACTGGAAATGTGATCTTCAATCAATACTTATACAACGATCCGATCAACAGCTATAAAGCTTTTATAAACTTTTTAGAAACAAAAATTTAGTTAGTTAAAAAAAGAAATTATAAAATTAACGATTAAAATATAAGCAGCGAAAACTAAAGTTAAAATAATAAACAGATCATAAGATCCTTGTCCTCTCTTTCGTGCATTTTATATTCTCTCATGATGTTATTCTTATACTATTGTCCTCTTTAACTTTTTTGTGTTAGTTCTCATCCATTTCTTACAGTGTAAACTATAATGCTGTCCACACTTCAAATAAAATCTGATTAAATAAAAAAACAAAAAAATATGGACACAAACTGCAATAGCTAACATTTACAGTTTGATTTTAATGATCATTTTCCCTACTCTAATCTATAGAGTAGAGAAAATGATCCTTTCCGTACATAAAATGTATATAACATAAAAAAGACAATTTATCCAAATGTTGTCATGTGAATCTAATCTTATCATTTCACTTCATCTGTTTTCATTACTTGGTCCACTTTTTATTTAAATAGCATGTGAAACGGAATTTCAGGTGTTTAAAGAGATAATTACCAAAGGTTGGTGAACAATTAAACAGCATGATACCTTTAGAGAGAATAATGCCAAAATGGTACATACAATGTTTGTTCATTTTTCTTCAACTTAAAAGTCTTTTTAAAAGATTTTGACAGAGCATATTAGAACTAGAATGTTATAGCACACTAAAAAATAATGTGTCGCATGTGTCGCAAACTGCGACATATTCTGCGACACCGGAAGCCACTTGCGACACATTTTTTCCATTGAGGCTGCGACACATTTTCATGTGACACATTCCGCTGGGTATTTCTACCATAGAGAAAACAGTAGAAATTAAGTATTTTCGATCTCTTATTCGATTTTAAGAATATTTTTAGTTCATTTTGGGATGCTCTACGTAATGTCAACAAGCTCAATCCGTCGGTAATATTCACAGACCTTCAAAATATTTAGTTTCCGAGATCAACAACCACAGTTCCTCAAGAACTGTGTCTGAAAGTTCTTAGTAACGGCAACACAATTATGCGACACAATTTTCTCACAGGAACTGCGACACAATATTTTTTACTGTGTAGCGCACATTTCCAATATGTATTCAGATATTTTGCATTACTTTTCTATGCAAAACAGCAAGCATAACATTAAAAACTTTGAAAATTTGCTTTAAAATATTTTTTTTGTCAATGAAATAGAATTGTACTATGTAATTCTACTTTACATGCATCACGTATAGCTGTTAATTTTATCGATGATCACGATTTTAGCTGTCATAATGTTTATCCACTTTTAAGAAAAATATTTTTTTAGAAAGGAAGCATGTGTCTACTTGACCTATTATTATTTTACGTTAAAATATTTTTTATTTTCGCCTTTGATAATTCCTATTAAGTCAAAATTATATGTGAAAAATTTATTACTTGCTATTCTCATATAAAACATTCATTGATTATTTCGGATACGTTTTTATTGATCATGCACGATCTATCGTCATTCTGATTGTCTCAAAAGAGAATTCTCAGTGCTACAAAAAATTACAGAGACAATTTGTTTTTGAGTTTTTTCCTTGATATCGATAATTAAAGAACACAGTCTCAATAATGATTTGCATGATTGAAAATGTTTTCAATCAGAAGGGATATATTCAGAAGTGTTGATAAGCAAGAATTTCTGGAAGATCAAACACCTTCATAAGCATATCCTGGTGTTTAGTCTAGAAATCCACTAAAAATAGCTCAGCTTTGTAGAATAAACATTTGTGAATAAAATGAGACGTTTCTGAACTCTCCATGCCATTTATTCATCAAACTACATTTAATGCATAACAGGTCCCAAACGGTAAAAGCTAGCAAAATTTATAGGAAAACAACAAAGAGATGATTTGACGTGGCCTTTTATAAATGTAGTTTGATGAATAAATGGCATGGAGAGTTCAGAAACCTCTCATTTTATTCACAAATGTTTATTCTACAAAACTGAGCTATTTTTAGTGAATTCTAGACTAAACACCAGGATATGCTTACGGAGGTGTTTGATCTTCCAGAAATCCTTGCTTATCAACACTTCTGAATATATCCTCCCAAATCCTATATATTACTTCTATTTATTTTACGATAAGAGGTTTAAGCTTAAATCTGAGTAGGATGTTCCATTACTGTCTAGTTTTCTATATTCGATGGAATCTATTTTTATTTGCTATCAAATCGTAGTAGTTATAAATTTACTAACATTATCAACAGCTAACCAAAAGTAATCGAATACTCGGATTCACTGAGAATTTACTCAAGTTTGAGTAAATTCAAGAATTTTTTGTACTTATTCTGTTTGGTTTATGAGGGTTTAACCACTGATAGAAGTGGTTGAACGACTTGTCATGTTTTCTGTCTTAAAAACACCTCTATTAATGATCTTAATTTTTCATGGCGTATTTTGTTTCTGCAAAATAAACTCAGCTTTATAACTTAAGAACGTTAAAACCACCGTATTGCTCATATTCAAAAATTACCATTGGATACAATTACAGAAATAAAGTGAAAAACCGCAGATATCAAAGTGTAAAGAGAATCCTTTTTAGATATTTTCAATTTTTGTCCATATATGTGTAAACATCTTATAATAGAGCTGCGAAAAGTAGCGATTTATAAAATCGAAAAGAAAATCTTCTCTTTTAGCATACCTTTATCTTTTCTTGATGCCTCGCATATGTTAGAGGTATATCTCTAACATATGCGAGACATCTAGATAAGATAAAGATACGGTAAAAGAGAAAACTCTGCTGTTTTTTTTCTTTTCAGATAAATGATAACAACTAAGTGAATGGAGTGACGTCACTATATATACATCTAACATACAAACGTGATATATAGATGAAAAAAGAAATGGACAGGATGTATATGTCCTTATAGCCTATCATAGCGGTTTCTGGCACGTCGAAATTTTAAAAATTATTTACTTAGAGGCTTAGTTAGTTTTTTTAATTGTTAGAAATTTTAGCGAATCCTGAATAAATATTCTTTCTCAAAAGTAAAAAAAAACGAAAGAATAAATAAAAATAAAATATTAGAGATATATGTTGCATATTGATATATGAGGGAACAGTAAAATAATTAATAACTGGCATTATCTCCATGATAACATATTTCTTTTGTATTCTGTCATTTTCTTTTCTTTCGCACTGCCTCAGATCAAACATGTACGCTTTGTTACCACTTTGCTTTTAAAACAAAGTGTACTTATTGGGATTTTTTTCGGTTGGTCGTATCAACTCGGTTTTCGATTAGAAACACTTTTAAATAGCGGCTTTTTTTATTTAGAACCACGTTTGATTAGAAAAACATGATTAATCAACGGACGTAGTTGTGAAAAAAATGCGATTATTGATAGGAAAATCGCGTCCGCGCGTGTAATTCATAAAACAGAGCGCGATTTTCCTATCAATAATCGCTCTTTGTCGTAAAATCGTGAGCAATCGCGATTGAACAAAACTGTGATGCGCTGTGGTTATAAAAAGAAATACAGGTTTTCTATTTCAAGCCCTGTTTTGTACTTAAATCGCGACTACTCGGAGAACTTGGTTATTTGCGATCTAAGCAGAAATCCGTTTTCTGCAACGAAAACTGCGATGTTTTCCCTTTTTGTATGTAAGATTTTAGTAGACGTTCTCACAGATATATACATCTACAGTTTACTTCCACTTTTCATTAGAAACACTGCTGTAAAGTCTTATGATGGAATGCTATGATAATACTATAATTACGGACTGAAGCATGCCGATTCCTTCCTATTAATGTCAGGTACATGTGATTTCTAGATAAGAATATAAATGCTTACTTCAGCCTCGAATTCATTAAATATTGTAAATACGAATAATTCATTATCATCGCCTCCACCTGTTGTTAACAGCGTTCCGTTGCCGTTACAAGGGCAACAACAAAAGAATGAGACAACAAATCCATTATTAGATCATACAGTCATAAAAAATCTTCTTTCACCGCACATTAGTTCTTCGACGAATGCAACAAACGATAAACCAATCACAGACTTAGCAATGAAAACACCGATTAGTTTTCTACAAGAAATATGTTTTCGCATCCATTCAACACCAAATTATAGTCTATGTCCAAGTGAAGAGCATAATTATTCTAGTGAACCTGTTTTTCTTTATCGTGTGACAATCGATGATTTAATTGCATTTGGAAGAGGTAACATGTAATACATGCATGATAACAACGTTATTTAAATTGATTTAATTTTAGGATCTAGTAAGAAACGTGCAAAGCACAGAGCCGCCTCAGCAATGATTGAAAAATGTTATGAAAAATTGAAGATGAATAATGATCCGTTGACAAACACCATTGAACAATATTGGTTGGTATATCTAATAAGCTGATTTTTTTAATTAATTCTATTTCATTTGTTTTGTTTTAGTTTAACGAAACCATTACAAAATAATATCATTGACGATGGTACATCCGGTAATCCTGTTGGACAACTTCAAGAGTTAACACAAAAGAATTGGATACGCCCACCGGAATATCATTATTCTGATCAAGATGGGACAATACCAAATGTGAAAACCTACATATGTCGAGCGAAAGTAGCACATTATGTAGAAGAAGGTAAAGGTTTTGTCCCTTACAACAACAGAAATTTGCTAATTTTGTCTTGCTTATTTAGGTGTTGGGTTATCGAAAAAAATTGCTAAACGTCTTGCTGCACATAATCTGTTAGAAAAATTAGAAGAACTGAGTACAGAAGAGAAAAAAGCACTATTAAATCGTGCCGAAGGACATGTAAATTATCAAACTAGTGATAAAATACAAATAATCTTGGAGTGTTTGCTCTTTTTTTGCAGAGTGAACAAGAATATTCACAGGTACATCAGCGATTTAGACGATCAAGACGAAAACCAAACGCTACGAATGTAAGTAGGATAAGTAAAAATGTGTTTTTGTTTCTATTACGTGTTATTTTCGTTTTTGTTTTGTAGCATCTAGATCCAAATGTCCGTACAAATAATTTTAATAGTGGTTTAACACGTACAAATCGTGTATATGAAAAAAATTCATTTCAAATGTTAAAGAATAGTGATTTACCATTGATAAAACAACTATTGTCAGATGAATATCGTGAATGTCCGAATGCATATCGGATGTTAGCACACCTAGCCAAAGAACAAAATTTTCATTTTACATTTATTGAACTACCTTGTATTGATTGTAAGTTTTTCATACATAACCAAATTGTGAAATGCATGTATCATCGGTTAGTAAGAGTAGGTTTTAAATTAATTTGTTTTTTCATTTGTTTAGCATTATTCCAAGTCTTGCTCGAAATTCGTCTGATACCGGTATCTGTGTTTCATGGTTATGGTGCATCATTAGATATTGCACAAGAGCGAGCTGCCTTCTTTTCATTAAACTATATTCGTTGTTTATCGAGACAAGCTCATCAACAACCGCAACATCAGCAGAGTACACTGTCTACTACGACGATCCCAGGTGGTGTTCAATCTTGATTTTCTGTTTCTTTTTGTTAAAAGTAATTAACTTATTTTCTATGGATTGTTTTTCTATTTGTGTAAAACACTACTATGTTTGGTTAAAATTTGTTTTGTACATACATAACTTTTGACGTTTGTTACCATTTCATTTTTTTCGTTTCCAACATGTCGTTTTTTTTTCTTCAGTATCTTTGTAGTAAGCATGTTAGAAAGTCTAACATTGCCGAAACTTTATTTCTGTTTTCCTTTCTCAAAATTTTCATAATTTTACTTCTGAACATTCCTGAATCTGTTATTCAGGTACTCTAGTATAGAATAAGTTTTTCGTAAAAAATCTAGTTACTACAAATTCATTCTTATAGTAAAAATGCTGAAAAAACTTCATGACTTGATTTTAAAAGTATTATAATAACACTCTATAACGTTAAACAGTCAATAAAAAATGTGGTCTTGGATAAAAGAGTTTTATGCCGATTAGAGAGTTAGCGATCTCATTTGTAATAAAAAAATCGTTTCGACCATAAATAGTTGACAGGCGTGTTCTATCATGTAAAGACTTCTAGAAGCCATATTTGACATTATTAATCGAAAATTTTATTAGGCAATCAAAAGTTAAGCTGTCTGTTTGTGCTGAAATTAAATCAGTATTTTTTAATGTTAGAAGATGATCTTTAAAGTGTTTCTATGCTTGGTTTTTGTAGCATGGATTACACGGGTAGAAAAACACAAAATTTATCAAGAGAGTCATTGTGAACTGTAAAATGATCTAGGAAGTCCATTTATTTCACAGAATGTCGTCTGAAACGTTATTTTTACTAGAGATCTATATTAGACATGGATAAAAAAATATGTCCATGTAGGTCTCTGATTTTTGTTCGAATACATGTGCTGATTTCTTTATGCGCGGAAAACATTCTTAACTTCAACGCCTAGCATCGTGTGTTGAATAATTCGGTTTTTTAGTTTGTTTATGCTATTTCAGAATAGTTGTTATTCTATTTGATCAGCTTTTTAGACAAAGTATATTGAAATTTTCATCCAAAGCTATTTATCTATTCAATTGTTGATGTTATTTTTTAGCTAAATAACAACCATCAATGGCAGTATAAACTAGTATTGTTCATTTGGTTTGACGTTCGAGGAATAACTCATATCGACTCGTATTCTGTCGTTTGTTATAATGAAAAAATTCATGTAAATATATCATTTAACAGCATGTTTAAATTAAGGTAGTCGAGCCGTTGCTAGTAAACAAGAAAAATAGAAACACGTTCAGTTTTTACAGATAATAAGGAACATGCCTTTTTGTAAAATGTTCAGAAATTGAAAGTATTTGATTTTCCATATTTTATTTCTTCTTCACTGTATTGTTACTTTGGTTACATTCAAGTCTAATAAAAATGGTGCAGAAACGTCATTAAAGCCAATATTTCATTATTGATATTAAGATTATGAAAATGTATCTTAGCTGAAAGCAGGGCTGAGTGAGCCCGAACTGGAAAATTTTTTGGTGGACTTGAACTCGGACTGGAGATTTTTTCGAAAGACTTAGATTCGAACTTGAATTTTTGTGTTTCGAGTTCGATCGATTCAGTTCTTACATAAATAAACAGGAAAATTTTCAGTTTTTCAATAGGAGGAAAGAAATATAAATAACGATAGCCAAAAACGTTTGAGAAAATATCAGACTCAAAATGGACTTGAGCTCGCTTGCTTCAGTACTTGGACACAGTGGGCAATTTTCCATAGGCAGGCGGACATTTGGTACAACATAGTTCCTTTTCACTCGAAATATAGCTTTTGTAGGTTTTCGGACATGCTCTTTCTAAGGAGTGGACGAAAGACACATGATTAGATGCAGTTTTTCACGCTGATTTCGAATCGGTCCTCAGTTTTTAGCTAGGATGCTTTCTGTCTGAGAAAACCGCGAAAAATCGCTGAAAAGCCAGAGTTTTTGGAAAACTCATAAATCCGGACCTGGAAAAAATGACAACTTTTTGCTAGTTTTGTAGGTTGTCCACTTCCAGGTAAATAACTGCTAAAAATTTCAGCTTCGACGGACCTTCGCTAACCCTCGCGCACTCACTTTGCTGAGTGCAGCTTTTGAAAAAACACTTAGCGCCGAAAAAAGTTAAGTTCACTCACACAGGAAAGAGGCAACCTGAGACCTTTCTTGCCAGTCGATAGCCCAAACAATTAGCTTTCAGAATATATATCTTTTAAATTTTAAATGTGTTTATTCTTGTCAGGAAAAAAGAGTTTTTTTATAGGACTTACGAAAAATCAGCCAAAAATTGACGCTTGACTTTCTCGGTCATCTTATGCATTTGGTTCAAAATTTTTTCGCTGTTAGATCGGCCATTCAGTAGTGTATATATGACACTATTCAGATCTTGAAAAATCTCGCTTTCGATTTTTTCCCTAATGTCCGCCTGATTGTCCACTGTGTTGGACTCGCCCAGCCCTGATTGAAAGTAGATGTGAATTGTTTGGTGACATACTCTATTAGAAAAAACATACGGCGAGCAAGAGTTGTTTATGTTTCTATTTTGGCGTTGTTTTCAATCATTGAGGTAGATTGAAGACACTTTGCGTACTGATGTAATTAAGATTCTGTATAAATAGCATCGGTTTTGCTTTATCAAATTATTTCATAGATTCCAAAGAAAAACATGAAAAGAAAAGTCAACTTGAAGTAAATAGTTCGTAGTTGATTCAATTTAAAATTTTTTTTGTTGCACAACAAATAAATTTAGCAACATTATTCAATGTTTGCTCATCATAATACACAGCAGGAAATTTGCAAAAGTTTTAGACGCGTTTAAACGCGTCAATTAAAAAATTTACCATTACCATGCGTTTTCCCCTTAGTTTCGATGCATTTTTACGAGTTTTCCATTTAAAATCGTGATTTTTGACGCGATGAAACCGTTTTCAACGCGGTTTAAAACGGCAGGTTTAAATGTTTATTTCGAAAAATAAACGCACTGGAACTACAAACGTTTTCAACGCGTTAAAAAAGTTGGATGTTGTCTAAGGAAAAAACGTGTGGTAATGGCAAAGTTTTCAACTGACGCATTTAAAGGCGTCCTAAACTTTTGCAAATTTCCTGCTGTGTGGTAAATCATTTTTCCAAATAAATCCATAAAAATCATTTGATAATTCATTATTTAGAGAGTATTGAATTACCTTTGGTCTATGCCAGTGTAAATTATGATTAACTGTGGGTATTTAATTATAAACTGTTGCATGTAGATTAAAATAGATGTAAACCTTGAATGGTCAGTGGATAAATTGAATGTGAAAGTGTTTCACTGAAATTTATGGATAAACCATCTTCAACAAATTGTTTAGCACATTTTTCAGGTATGGTAGTAGCTGACACAACGTCAGTTAAAAGAATAACAGTAACGGGTGCTTCAGAATAAATCGGTCACTTAGTATTTTGCTCATATCTTAGTTGAATTTTATCCCCTAAGCTTTGTTGTTTTCTTAAAAGATGTGCCATAAAATTCTCTACAAAAAATATATTAAACATTTTTCTATATACCGTAAAGATAAAAGAATATCGAAGAAATACTGCGAAGCTTCAATCTCGATTACTTTGCAACTCAAAAAACAATTTTTTCAATTTTAGTCCTTCATACTTTGTGAAACAAAAAACAAAAAGATGGCCATTTGATAGTCCTTGAAAAGCTCTATCAAGTGTCTATATTTAAAACGTTTCGTAATCATAATCGGTTGTGGAAGAATTTTTTTTCTTTTATCGAGTGTTCTCGACATCAACATTTACCAACTGTAGTTTTGGTGTAGTTAGAAAAACGTTTATAATTCGATCAAAATCAAACATTTTGAGATCGGGTTTTCTTTATCTTAAAGTAAAATAATTCTTCTGTTATATCCGTACAGAGAAAGTTCAATATTTTCCTTTGTTTTCCTGTGTCACGACGAAAAAGACAAAATTTCCCCTCTTTTTTTGTTAGATTTTAGTACAATCATCTTTTGTGCCAGAAAAACATGTTTAAGCCGAACCTATAATAGACGAAAAGAAAGACGACCCTTCAGAGCACCAGAACTTATGTTCATGATTCCACCTTTGTGCATGATACCGTGCTCAAAATATTTTTTTTCATTGTTTCTTGAATTGCAAAGTAATCGAGATTGAAGCTTCGCAGTATTTCTTCGATATTCTTTTATCTCTACGGTATATAGAAAAATGTTTAATATATTTTTTGTAGAGAATTTTATGGCACATCTTTTAAGAAAGCTTAGGGATAGCTTAGGGGATAAAATTCAACTAAGATATGAGCAAAATACTAAGTGATTGATTTATTCTGAAGCACCCGTTATATCACATATTAAATCTAAATAACGGAAGTCTGGCATCCTCAGAGAAACAGCAACAGAAATTTCTGACTTCGATAATTGGAAAAATAATGATTTCTTTACTTTTATATTTATTCTGCTAGTTTTATATAGGATGAATGGTAACGACAGTTTATTTTATATACTTACAATGAACTCTCATATTTTTTTTACAGATAATTATAGGAGTAAAAGAAAAATGAGTTGTTTTCAAAGATACAGGAATAATAATGCGTCATTTTTCTTTTTTAATTGAATTTTATTATATAAACTGGTTAACGGTGATGAAGCACATAGAGAGAATCAATTTAATTAAGAAAATAAGAGCTATATCCTTCCATGATATGATGCATTGGAGGAGAGCGTATAAACTCGGTCTCCTTTTGATTAACCTTTTCTTCCTTCCGTTGCGTTTTAGTGGTGTATATAGGAGTAATCGTTTGGTTCGTTGTTATAAAGGCTAAAGTAACAATGTATAGAGGTGTATAGACCATAATACCTTTGCGGGTAATAGGAACTTGTTATTGTTGATTAGTGTATAGTATTACAAAAATGCAGAACTTCACTATTTAAAAAAATGGCCGTTACCGGGATTTCCATTGAGATTCTATATTTATGTACAAGAACAAAGTCTTTAAGATAGTTAAAAAAATAGAATGAAAATGAAAGATTACCATTTTGTTCTTGACGCTTTTCGGTTTACAACAGAAATAGTTCCATTTTGTAGTTTTTCACTGGTATGATTATTATTGGGTGGTGGTTGTTGTAGAAATTTAACATGTTGGACGGCAGGCGGCGGTGGAGGAAGAGCAGGAGGTGTCGTTGGTGGTGGAGTAAAACGTAATAAATCAGCTGTTTTTGCTGACGAATTTGTATCGGAATAACCCGAATCTATTGTATCTATGCGATCGGTTTGAGATCTTTTTATTTCAGTTACTGTAACAGTTTGTGTTTCAGAACCAATGGTAGTATTTGTTTCAGGTATAGCTTTTACTTGTATTTCAATTGAATTATTTTTATTTTGTTTAAATGCCACTTGACTTTTCTTTAGTAAATCAATTCGATTACGTTCTTTTGCATTTTTTTCAACCAATTTAACAAGTTCTTTGTCAAGACTAAAAATAATTCAATTATATATATTAATGAGAATTTTATTAATTGTAAAGATAATAGACACAAACCCGTGATTATCTTCCGATATAACAGGTTCGGGAAGCTCTTTGTCAAAACCTTCTTTTCCCTGGAGCCAATACGTTTTATGATTTCCTCGTCCCTAGGAAGAAAACAAGAAGAAAGATATTCAAATTTTTATGAATAATGACTACACAAAAATTTATACTTTGATTTCTGTTATGCCACGATATTCTAATTTAAAACCACCACTTTCTTCCAATAGACCTGCTGTTGATTCACTCACATGTACACGAAAGGCTAGAAATAGAAAGTAGAATATACAAACAATATATAAATATAGATATAGTGATGAGAGAATAAATATAGATAATATTTTCGTCAACCGACGTTTGAACGACCAACATTTAAGCGACCCCGACATTAGACACTTTTCAATAGGACTTTTTTCCAATCAGGAAAATGGAATAATTGTTCACTTTGACAACGATTAATAACGATGATGATAACAATTTCTTTGTCATCCGATTATGAACTGAATTATTTGGAGATCTGTGGAGAATGAGCAGCTATAAATGATACGCTTCGCTCAAACGTTGGTTAATCAATATTTTATTCTCATCAAAGCAAGATTGATGGTATGTTACAAAATATAAAATTACCCATGCTTGTTGATTCCATTCTACTAGCTGTATTGACAGTATCACCAAATAAACACTAAATAAAAATGAAAAATCAAGACACTGTTACACATAGACGTCTAGAATACGCTTACATAACGTGGCATTTTTAAACCCACCACACCCGCAACACATGCACCTGATAAATATAGAGAACAATAGTTTAACAGAAAAAAACAAATTAAATCTAAAATTTTACCAGAATGCAATCCGATTCTTAATCGTAATGGTACACCGGGCATGTGTCTTATTTTAAATTTTCCACAATGATGTAGTAGAGTCAATGCCATTGTGGCTATTTCTGATGCATGTTTAATTCCATTTCGAATTGGTAAACCGCTTACAACCATATATGCATCGCCAATTGTTTCAACCTAATAATGAGTAGAATAAGATTAATTAAATACTATTTTTATTTAATATTTTTATTTTTGTACTTTGTAACAATCAAAATCTTCTAATATTGAATCAAACATTGTATACAAATCATTTAAAAGATCAACAACTTCCATTGGACCACTTAGAGCTGAGATGGTGGTAAATCCGACAATATCAGAAAAATAGATTGTTACCATTTCAAACCATTCTGCTTCAACTGTTGTACCAGATTTTAAACTTTCAGCAACCGTTCTAAATATAGAATGTTAATATTTATCATTTTTTTTGAAATAAAGTATATCCGAATCAACCTACGGTGGTAACATTTGTGACAATAATTTATCTGTTTTCTTCTTTTCTTCTTCTAATTGAGTTGTACGTTCTATAAAACAACGACAATAATCAAGAATAGGATATCGTTAATGTCTAACGTATCATATACCTTTAATGAGATCTTCAAGATTATTTGAATATTGTTCAAGCATTTTAAACATAGTATCAACAATATTCACTTTTCTGTTTAAAAAATAATTTGAATAAAATATATTTAATAATTAATTCTATTAATTTTTATGACACTTACTTTCCACCATTCAAAGATTTTATTGATTGAGCTAAATCAGCAAATGATGGACGTGTTTCTGGTTGTTCTGCCCAACATTGTTTCATACTATTAATATATTCTGGTGGTGCTACTTGTTTTGATACAGATGGACGTAATAGGGGAGGAGGTTTACGAATTTTTGCAATTATTTCTAAAAATGAATAATAATAGATTAAAATAATAGATTAAAATAAATAATAGATTCGCTTTTTGGTCTCAAAACAGACCTTGATTATTATTTTCATTTTTTTTTATTTTCTCTGTATATCATCATACAACCATGTGGGAACATATATATATATTACTAAATATGTATGAACAGTCTTTTCTCTATCTGCTATCTTGTTTTCTTCTTTCTTCTTTTACTAGATCTTTTTAGTGTTATCACAATATGTGTAGCTCTTATTTTCTCTATCGCCGATAATAATGGAACTTGTCTTTCTTTCGGTGGGTAAAGATAATATAACTGGCTAATTTTTTTTCTTTTTCAAATAAATAGTTTATATCAATAGATTAAAACTCTACTTATAAATGAGAAATAATTGATATAATTACCTGATGCTGATAAATCTAACATACAATATGGTGCTCCTCTAAGTATCACTTCTTGCATAATAATACCAAAACTATACACATCACCGGCTATTGAGCTTGTTGTCACTGTTGCAATATCACCTTTAATTGTGGCTGTTCGAATATGTTCTGGAGCACTCCATAATAAATCTATAAATAAAAATTATCAAATTATTTTAATTTTTTATAAATTTATTTGTGTATAATATTATTGATTACCTGTCATATCAACAATTCTTGGAGAATTTTGGAGTGCATAAACTTCATTTAATCTATAATCGGTTACTTTTAATACCCATCGTGAATCCACAATACAATTTCGTGATTTTAAATTTCCATGACATTTAATTGGTGAATGAGATAAATAACGCATACCCTAGAAATAAATAATATTCACATAAAAAAACATGAAATTACTTCTTTTTTTTTTGTTTTATTTATTTTCAATAAATTTATAGTAGACATACTCGAACAAGATCATTTAACATTGACCATTTAAAATTCCAATCAAGTTTAATTTCTTCTTTTTTTAATATATCCTATAAAAATATTGTTCAATAATATTAATTAATAAATAATTATACAACAGAAATTAAAAATTTTATACCTCTAAACTACCACGATGACCATATTCATATATTAATGAAGGTAATTGATGATCAATAAAAACGCCAATGAATGTGTTAACATTTTCATGTCGAAGATCTTTTAGCTAAAAAAAATTAGAATATAGAAAATAATAATTTAATAAAAAAGAGAATTCTTCTATTTTATTTACCATTCTTAATTCTTTCATCATTTTTGTTCTAAGAGATAGTGGTCCAATATTTAATTTTTTAACTTCAACAAGATCACCCTAAAATGAAATATACAAAAAAAAATCATCTAACTATTGTTTATCTGTATAGAAAAATTAAAAAATATGAGACTTACATTGTATCGTGCCGTTTTTCCTGATTGTACTTCTTCACTTCGAATAGAAATGTTACTTCGTTCATGTACATCAGCTTTAAGATTAACCTATGATATAATTATAAAATTGAATTTTATTTATTTTTATTTTAAATAAAAAATAATAAAAAAAAAAAAAACTTTTTTTTTTTATTTACTTTGCTGGTAAAAATTGATCCTTTTGGCATAACAAATATAAGATCATCGGGTAATAATATAATTTTATTTGGACCTTTACTCATTTGTTTTCGTGCACGTTGATTTCTGAAAATTTTTTTATTTAATTTATAAATATTATCGACACTATTAAATCAAATTATTATTAGAAATACCTGATAAAAAGTATTGTTATTAATGCAATACCAGAAGCAACAACGACGCCCATCAATGACAATAATACAATTCTTAATACTCTCCAACCTATAATAATTAGATATATATATAAAATAATAATTATTATTATTTTCTCTTATATATTTTTTAATATACCAGCATCTTCTGTTACTATTGTTGATGAATCAATACCAGGCCATGTTGTACATAGTCCACTATCTATATTAGTAATTGTTAAATTATTTGTAATCATTTTTAATGGTGCCCATGTACCATTACAATTAATACCAACAATATAATATTTAAATAGACGTATTCTATTTAATAATGAAATTGTACCAAGATCCGTTGTTGTAGATAATTTATTTGAACCTTGTTGGTTTAAATACAGTGTACCTTCTAATTCACTTAATATATACAATATCTAAATTTAAAAGAAAAAATTAGAATAATAGAGTCATCTTTAATGGATATATTTTCTTCGGTTTTTTTTTTTTCTTTTTTATTATATAAAATGTTAACATACATCATCAATGGATGTAAAACTTGTTCCATTTAATAATAATATTCTTTCTAATATTGATAATAAATCTGAATATGAATTTTCTATATCCATTGGTAAAAGATGTAAAACAGAAAATGATGATGAATTAAATAAAGTAAGATTAAATGGTGCTTGATTATTATTTTGAATAAAATTTGATGAAAATGATGTGGTATAATATGATAAATGAAATTGTGACCAACGTAAAAATATATAAACCATACCTGATATAGAATTTTGAACAATATAGGAATAAAGATGCTGTTCTTCAGAATAGGAACAAATAACAAATATCACTAGAAAATAAAAGAAGAAGAAGAGAAAAAATAAGAAATAAAACAACAACAACAGGAAATCAATCATTAAAATGAAACAAACAATATTAATCGAACAAATTATAGATTCAAATGAATCGATAAAAGATTATGGAAACATGATTTTATTTAATCATTATTTATCTTATTTTTTTTTACCTCGACTTTTTAATTGTCCCAATTGTGTCATCGTATAATTTAGAATATTCGTAACGTATAAATATTTTTCTAATATATATGACGTAGTTGATGATAGTCCAACTATAAATTCTTGAGCAAAATATGAATATAAAACTTCATTTGAACCGATAATCATGGTAAAATAACGTAAACTATATTGTTGCATAAATGTTTGTGCAGCTAGAACTAATTGTTGACTTGTTATCGTCAATTGTAACGTATTTGTGGGCATCAATGTTATATTAACTAAATTATTAATGAAACATATTGGATTAATAATATTAATATTATTTAATTGTGAAGCAATTGATGTTGGTATTGTACAATCACCGGTATTCCAAGCAAAAACAACACCAACTATATTTGAATCTGATAACAATATTTGTGTAGAATTAAGAAGTGTAGATGAATTTGATGATAAACGTACAACAATAGATGTATTCATTAAAGTCAAATCTAAATAAGATGATTTTAAAATAGAATTAAGTTCAGTTGATGTTGAAGGAGTTATTGTATAAATGACAGCATTTGTTTTACTAACACATAGAAAATATAATAAAAACACTGAAAATTTAAACGTAAACGATGTTATTGTCAATAATAGACGAATGTTTTTAACAAATATCGAATGAATGAACGACATGTAGATTAATAAGAAGACTAAGTTGATAACAATTAATTCCAATCATTCGTATCTAAAATAATAAATTTTCTAATTTTAAAGAATATCATTTAAATAAAAATAATTGCTGAAACTTATGACACTTTTTATTTTAATTCAAATTATTATATAATAGTTGTTAATTCACTTTTAGATGAAATAAAATTCTTAGACTATGCATTGGCAACATACACAGTCAAGTATCTTCTATAACTCAACTTTGTCAATGATAAAAGGATCCATAGTAGAGAGATTGTTTATAAATCTGTTAATTTTTGTAGCGACTGTTCAAAAATTGATATTTTTTAAATTTTTTTTCATAGTTTCGAAACAAGATAAACCATTTCTAATGACTTAAATTAAAGTATTTTCATAGGAAGCCGTTTCTCAACTCTTACCACGATTTTGTCTGTATAGGAAATAGTTGTACTGTTTCGTTAGAGTTTTGATAAAAATGTTAAGTGATAGTCGACAAGTTCAGTTTTTGAAAAAGGTATCTAGGTAAGTATGTAATTTTTATCATATCTGACTTAAACTTTTTTCTTAATGTTAAAACTTCACGATAGATGTAGTTAAATGTGTTCTATAAAACTCGTGCCTTCTCAATTCGTTCCTAATTGCTCTCTCTCAATTCGTCCCATTTTCTAAATATTTATTCTTCATAAGTTCTCTTCGTGTTCTTCAAAATAACAAGAGTTTCGTCTATGTTGGTCAACTTATAATAAATAAAAATATGTACGGAAACGTGTCTAAAGCAGACAGTCGAAAGAGTATTTGCTGTTCATTCACACATTTATGAATTTATTGATCTATTACGTCACGAACATGTCTTTCAGTCAGTACCATCACGCAGAAGAATCTAAAGTCCAAACTCGCAAACGTAAAAAACTTTACAATGAAATTGATGAAAAATCAAAAAGTTTACTTGACACTCATGAAAAAGGGGAGTTAACAAATCCAAAATTAGCCGTAAAATGCGGAAGGACGGTAAAAAATTCAGATGAACTAAAGACAATGTATTAATAATATGTTTTTGTTTCCATTTCTGAAAGTTAAGTTAAATATAACTTATGTAGAATAAGTATTTAAAAAATGGGATGAATTGAGAGAGAAAAAATTGGGACGAATTGTTTGGGACAAACTGAAAAAAAAATTTGTGGGACGAATTGAGAGAGAGCAATTAGGGACGAATCGAGAGTGAACCATAAGACTATACTAGATTAGTCTCGATTGACAAAGTCTGTTTTATTTATAAAATTTTGAAATACTATTCAAAGTAGATTTAACAATTTTTTAAATTGGATTCATTGGCTGTCATTTTCTCAGATTTTTCAATTTTTGTTTTAATATATTTGAATAGATTCGACTATTTCTACATAGAACCGGATTATTTTTGGATAATATTGACGTTGTCCGCACTCTGTAATACATCAGAGTTACCGTTCTGATGTATCTTCAGAAATTTCTTATAAAAACTAAACTATTTTTCTTTTTTATGGATTTTTAAACAGAGAGTCTTGTTTAAGGTAACCAATTACATCACCCTAGAACTTTCCAATACCGTTAAACGTTCTCTCCTCTACTTAGACCATAATAAAGCACTACCGATTGTGAGTCAAAAAATATGTTGAATATTTTTTCTTTTAAAAACTAAAAATTAAAATAATGTGCTTTAATTATATTTAATAAAATCTGTTGTATCTTACCTTTATTATGTAGATGAAAAGAAGTTTTAATTGAACTGAGATTTTCTTAAAATTATATGTTAAAATTTGAATTAAACAGATTTCTATTTTGTTAACACGATTTATCTATATTTAATGCATTCTTTTTAATTACAATCTCTATTTCATTATATCATCTCCTTCCCCCTTTCTCTCTGAGTATCTTGTATCTTCTATATTGAATGTTTAATCATACTAATGAAGAAAAAGAAGAAAAGAAAAGTTAATCAATCTGTGTCCATGAGATAGACCTCATCATTACCAAACGACGTGAATTATTCTTCGCTGCTTCTTTCTTCCCGTGTTTTCATGTTGTTAATTCGAACGTTAACAAAATCTTTATATATATATATATATATATATAAAATATTTCCTATTCATAATGGTGAAGGTGACGAGAAAAAAAAAGTAACTTAGTACTTGTTTTCCGGTTTTTCACTGATCAGCTCAAACAAATACCTAATGGTATAAAGAAGATGTTGTTAGAAAGTAAAAAGAAAGAAAAAGAAGAAAGAATATGATTATCTTCTTTCTTTATCAAGCGGAATAAGATAGACTGCTGAGCTGCGTATCAAAAATCTGAAAAAACTGTGAAATCCTGTTGATAATGATAATGTGAAAAAGCCAAAGGTAAAATTTATAGGTTGAAAAACTAATATGCTCATAGCAGCATGAGAGAAACTTTTTTGCTCCCATTTTTTAATAATGAAACTAAAAACCATAAAAATAAAATATGCATAGATATTGATAATATAAATCTGATCTAACTGATTGATACATGGGTATACAACTTTAAAGCAAGATTAATGAGAAAAATAGAAAAACATGTATATCTGACTATTTCAACTAATGAACAGTGCATGTGCAAAATGCTTCCGTTTTATTTTGTGCATTTTATATAACGTCAAATTATATCATTCTTTAAAGTCCAATTATCGTCTTACAGGAAAACAACTTCAATACAATTAGAGAATTAAAGAATTTTTGTTTTATTAGCCCTAGATTTTGTCGCAGTTTTCAAAAATGTCACAACTTTTTGAACTCATGATGACACTTTTTACCTGTTTCGGCTACAATTAAACAATATAATGAGAATTCTACTGACGCAGAAACACACAAATAAATATATATATAGTTTTCAAGAGAATTAGATTTCTATTGAGCAGATGATAATTCTCATTGTCTATCCGTAGACAGAAAAACAAATATAAAATCTATTCGATGTTTATAATTTTCTTACATATCACCGAAAAAAAAATAAAGTTGGTTTTGAGTTGCTGAAAAGTACTTTTTTGTATTCAGTAGACTCAATAATCTAGAAGATTTTCTATTTTTGACAAGAGGTATTTCCAAAAGTTTAGGAAAAATTTTCAAACTAATATTATTTTCCTATGGAAAATTTTTTACGTTATTTTGTTTCAAAATTTTTCCTAAACTTTTGGAAATATCTTTCGCCAAAAATAGAAAATCTTCTAGATTATTGAGTCTACTGAATACGAAAAAGCATTTTTCAGTAACTCGAAACCAACTTTATTTTTGTTCCGGTGATATGTGTTTTTTAACGCAATATACATGATCGATTTTAACAGTATTATAGACAGCTCATAAACTTAATTCATACATAGAAGCAAAGAAATGTTATTTTGATTAAACAGCAAGAATTTGTCTATCCGACGAACATTAACATTTAAGATTTCTTATATATTTTCTTTCTAGAATTATATTTATTGTTTGAAAAAGAAGCAGAACTACGACGTTCCGCTCTGATACAAAACCCATAAAAATAAATCAAGAATTTCAGCTTGTACTCGGATGCAAAATAAAACGTCCTTATAAGGTTAAGTAGTAGTGTTTTGATTTTGACTAAAACAATGAATATAATTTCTAAATGATTGATATACTCAAAAAAATCAAAAGTAACAGATCATCGGCACGTGATTTTCGTTACCTGAACAACACAGTCGTGATAGACTCATAAAACCAATTCTGAAATACAGAAACCATTAAGTTATTTCTGGAAACCATCTAGATTACCATCACTGTACGAAATCACGCATAATTACGAGACAGTTAAAGCAAATACCTGAGGGGACAAAAAAAGGTAAATGTTATCCTATGTCAAGACTTTTCGTTTTTTTGAGAATTGTCATCATAAATGCTAAATATCTTTCGTTGTTTCTAATCTCAATTGTTCCATTATCAAAAGAGCCTACCTTTTTTAAGAGAATTTCAGACCTAATGTAAAGTACCATCAAGTAGGAGTATTGTGCTTGAGAAAATTGGTGGAAAAAATATTAAAATACATACCGAACGTTTTAAACTAAATGTCGTCAGAATAAATCATTGTGTATTTCTTGTTTTTTATAAAACCAAACGACGTCAAATTAAATCCGCTTTTTAAGCTTCTTAAAAAAATATATTTTTTTTATAAAAACTTATGCATCTTTCTAACTTCTTTTCTTTGCATTATGTTGTCAGCAGCCACCATGGTGGTAGTGAATCTTTTTTTTTGTTTAAGAGAGATGGCATGTCAATAATCCGCTTAACAAGAAGAAGAAAGGATTTTTTAAAAAAGAAAATCTATAGAAAGTCACCACATATACTAGTTTTTCTATAGTTTCATCTCACGTTTATCTCCAGGATAGTATTTCTTCATTTTTTTTCTTCTCATCATTTTATTATGCTTAAAAATTCATTTTGATATACTTTCTTTTTTTTTTCCTGTCTGAGTATATTCTCTCAAACAGTTAGTTATTCGCAATTAATTCTTGTGCACTATATTATGATATAAAGAAAAAGACTCGACGGTGTTGTATTTTTTTTATTTCATTTTATTATTTTTTTTTGTTGTTTCATATCTAATGTGTAAATGACAATCCGCTTCAGGATGACTCTAGTTAGTCAAAAAAAATGTGTATGTGTGTGTGTTCTCATCTGAATGAAAGTCACGAAAGAGAGATTTATCTTTTTTTGTTATTAATGGGATTTAAATGTGAGTCATTGTATGGTATCCCTGCAGCTCACATTGTATAAAGATTTAATGTTTTCCTAAAGAAACAGCAATAAGCAATGGCAAACCACTTTTCATTCATTCATTATTTCTAATTTACCTTAATTATCCACAACATAAAATTCTTATCAAAAGACTTTAAACGTATCATCCAGATGTATTCATCTTCAGATAAAAGCATTCGTCGTTGATAAAGTATTATCAAGAGTTTTCATTCCAGTAGAGGAAATAATTTTTTATATATAATTAAAGTTCCATTAGTGTAGAGTAGTCCTACACTGTTTATTCTACACT